TTTTGTATATTTAATTTTCCTCATAATTGTGTATTTAATTATGAATTCATTTTCACAAACTACACGAAAATATATCCAGAAATCTAGGAATCAAACTTCTTCAAAAATTAACCCTCTGTCATACTTGGGGTCAATTCAAGACCGATTTTTTAAACACTACAAAAAACACTTTTCTAAAATAAATTTTCTTAAAGATTTAATGGATATATATCCAGTATGTATTTGGTTTATCGTATTATTTGAATGTAGTAAAAATAACTTCTAAGAAGTTTCATCAATATCCATCAACAAATTAACAACATCATGCTCTTATTTCTTCAAGAACATAAAATTCAAAAATTTGATTTTGACCCCGGTGTTTGGAGGGTTAATGATTTTTAGTTTCGAAAATTTGATTAGAACTAACTTTCCATGGACTCGGAAATAATAATCGCAATTTACTTGATCAAGATTAAGCAACAATTGGTAATAAATAATATAATTTTTACTTAATTATTGGCAAAAATTGCCTTTTTCCCGAAATCCTTCAAATTCACATCGCAGGTACGGTAAAACTATGAGAGGTATTAAGCTCATTCATTCTGTGTTTGATTCTTATATATATTCTTTATAATATCCAGTATAGAAAACTTTAATTTTTAATAATCCATTTAACAAAATTTTTTAAAGTTTGAAAATGGAGTTTTGGAGATGCTGTTAAAATAATGGCCCTTTTTTGACCACAGACTAAACCGAGTAAGCGTTATCCAATTTGAACAAAAACTCGTACTAGCACATTTATGAACCTTATAAAGATAAACATAATATTTTTTTGTAAAATTTTTCAAAACTAACAAAATTTTTCTTATACATATTTACTTTTATATGTCTTCAGAATCACAAAATTCTCGGGGGAAATTTTAATAACTCAAAACTTTTTTAACCAATTTTAAGTTTTTCCATCTTTTTGGAAAGACAATTTTGTAGACATTACGATTTTGCTATAAAATGGTGCAATAATTAATAATTAAAGCCTCATTTTGTGAAAAAAACTCCAAAAAGTGCAATTTTTCCCATATAAACGCATTTACAAACTTTGGCGGCGATGCGCGGGCTCTTACCCTCAAAATAATTGAATAATATTTTACAGTCTTCCATTTGACGTTAAAATACAACATAATTTCACTATTAGATGTTGATCCGAGCGAAAAGCCTATTTTCGACCCACCCTAATATACATACATACATACAATAACAAAATCTCACTAAAAAATCATCAAAATGCTTAAATTTAAATCAATTTTTATTTAAAGAAAATATCTAAATTTATAAGTATAGTAATTTATAATTTTATAAATTTTAAATTAATTAACAATTTCTATTAACAATAATTATCAATTACTTTATTTGCTTTTGTCAAATTTAAACACAAAAACATACAATATTTTAAAACAAATTGCATACAATAACAAAGTCTTACTGAACAAACAACCCATCAAGTTTTACTGTTCAGTCAGCTTGATTTGTACTAACCAGTCAAACTATCAGTTTTTTTACGTCCCTTAGTAAGAAAACGAAACCAAGAACTAAGCAATACGTAAGCAGTAGGGTTCTATAAATCGGCTTTCGAATAATCGAACAATCGACTTTTTGTCGAAAAAAGTCGAAAAGTCGAAGTCGACTATTTTGTTCCAAAAAAGTCGATAACTCTACTATGGTCTGTGAAAAAAGTCGAAAAGTCGACTTTGTTAATAAAAGTCGAAAAAAGTCGATAGTCGAAAAAAGTCGAAGAAAGTCGAAAAGTCGTAAAAAGTCGAAAAAAGTCGAAAAGTCGGAAAAAGTCTAAAACTCGAAAATTGTAGAAACAAGTCAAAAATAGTCGAAAATCTTAAAAAAAGTGGAAAAAAAGTCAAAAACTCTAAAATAGTCGGAAAAACTCGAAAAAAATCAAAAAATAGTCAAAAAAAGTCGAAAGAAGTCGAAAATAGTCAAAAAGTCGAAAAAATCGCAGTCAGAAAAATTCGAAAAGTCGACTATTTATAAAATACTTATAGTCGAAAAGTCGACTTTAAATTAAATGAAAAAAGTCGAAAAATCGACTTTTCATAAAATGCAAAAGTCGAGAAGTCGACTTTTAACTAAATGAAAAAAGTCGACTTTTCGTTTCAACTATAGAACCCTACTACATACGAATGACAAAGTTATATATACCCACTATCAACACTGATGGTTTGGAGGGTATAAAAACATTAAAAGAAAAAAATGATGGGTGGTGCAGGGTGCACTTATAAGGTGAAGTCAATTCTACAAAAACAACAAAAGTAGATACTTCTGTCAAAAAATTTACATGTTGCCACCGTATTTTTTTTTTTAATTTACCTTACAAAACGTCAATCCCACATGCCCAAAAATCTCTTCACGTAAAGTAAATATTAATATTATAAGATAAAATTTATTAAAAATTATACATGAATTGAAAAATAACAAAATTTTTATTTTATAAACGGTATTTTGTATGGAAATTTTGTTTTATAAACCTTTAATAAAATAAAAATGTTGTTTGTGAATAAGGGGGTTAGAATATTATTTATTATTTACTTATTAAAAAAGTAAAAAAATTATCAATTAAAATAACAAAAAATTAGTATTAGATTACAAAATTGTAAGTATGTAATAGTAAAAATACAAATTATATACATATTATACCGTGTAGGTCTCTACTATTGTCGTATAAGAAATATATAATGATCTTTATAGAAATGTGACCAACCACTGCCATGAAAAGCTGTTAAGATATATATGATAAAATCAAGTTTTAATAATTTTATTTACAATTGTGGGATGTTTGTACTCTCAATTGATTAGTAAAAAGTTCCCTATAATTGATATTTATTTGCATATTTAAGACAAATAGTTTGTGCAATTTTTGAGTATTTCGCATAAATTTACTACGGATTAAAATGAATATAAAATTTATTTATTAATTTTTTGTCCTAAAAATATAATGAATCCCTAGATAGATGTACATATTTTTTCGGATCGTGGCAACTCTAAATGGTGAACTTTGACAGTTGTATCTATCTCTAAAAAAATGAGTGATCAGCTTTTGAATTGATTTCACCTTATGAGTGCACCCTGGCGTGGTGTGTAACTTGCAGCTTGTAAAGCGTTAATGTTAGAAATGCTTTGTCGCCTCAACGCATGTTATGTACTTCCACATTTAATGATTTTTATTTATAAAACTCTTTTCATGTACAGTCAACCCCGTTTAATATTACCTCTGGGGATTCAGTAATATCTTTTCAATATGAAAATTTTATTATAAGACAGGTTAATTTTACAAGGAACAAAAAATAAATTTATATTGTAAAATATAGCTTAATATTTTCATTTGTTTTCAACACATATTTTTTTTTGAAGTTCGATATGAAATTGCATTCATAGATAGTAATTAGTTTTAATTCTATAAAATATGTTTTTGTATCAAAATAGTTATCAATGTTCCGATAATTAAAATTAGTTTGTAATAAAGGGGATTGAATGTAATGCAATTTGTTTTTTACATTTGAAAAAAATTAAGTATAAGGTGAAAATATATGGAAAGAGTCACATTTTATAAAACGAAACGACAAACGTTCAAAAATATTTGTATGGAAAAAATTCAAATTATCAAAAAAAAAAAAAAAATGTTCAGTATTCATACAATTTCTTTACTACAACATATGATTCGTTTTCTAAAATGAGGGGGTTAATCTTTATTTTCTTTTTTAAAATACGGATGGAATTTCATTTGATTTTCCATAGGTAAAGACTCATAGTCTAAAAGCACTTTTAGCAATTTATGATATGTAATTTTTTTGACTTTAAATTTTAAATTGTCAACTTTTCCGACTTTTTTAAATTTTTATAATTATAAAACACTTGTTTTTAAAATTTGTGTAATAAAATCTCATTTTCTTTTTACGTACTTTTGTAACAATATTAGTTGTAATTTGTAATTTTTCCTAATTATTTCTACAAAATTGGTTCAACTTTTTCTTATAAGTTAAGTTAAGCCTTTTAAACCATACGACTTTACGTATGGAAAATCAAATGAAATGACATCCGTATTTTTAAAAAAAAAGAATAAAGGTTGTATGATTTATGCTCTTTGCGTTTACACAATTGGTATAACACTAATAGTGTTACACTATACCAAGTAGAATGGAAACAGTTTTTAATTTTTTTGTATGTTTTTACATAAAAATACATCCCTGATTTAATGCGATTTGCCTGTTCTTTACCCCGTGTCTATATTAGACAAATATTTATTATGCTAAACGTCAAATTGCTATTATGATAAAAAATTAGCAGGTACGGACGGCATTTATTAGCGTTATAACGTCGTTATGACAGCGTTATCTAAACAATTGTTTAGACAACGTTGTCTTAATAACAAACGTCATTTTATTGTAAAATTTGTTAAGAATTTTGTTTTAAAATTGATTTTTAACATAAGTTTTAGTGAAATTAGAGTTTATTTACAACATTTTCATTTAATTTTAATTGTTATTATAAAATTTTGCATTATTTCAATAAAATTATCTGTGAGTTGTTTTTATAACAATTAACAAAACGTCGACAGAACAATTGTCAGTTTTTTGTTTATGTTAATGCGTGGGGATAACAAAATGCTGATTTTATCACGACAACTCATTGATAATTTTACTGAAATAATGCTATATTTTATTAAAACAATTAAAATTATATACAAATTTAGTAAAAAAACACTAATTTCACTGAAACTTATGTTAAAAATCAATTTTAATAACACAATGACGTTTGTTATCAATTCAATGTTGTCTAAACAATTGTTTAGACAACATTGTCATAACGATGCTATACTCTAATAAATGCCGTCTGTACCTGCTAATTTATTATCATGATAACAATTTGACGTTTAGCATAATCAAGATTAATCTAATATCGACATAGGATTAAAGTAGCTTTAATATTCCTTTCGATTTTGATGGGACTTAATAATCGATTTACCGACTTTTCTTGCAGAAAGTCGATTGTTCGAAAATTTATTTATAGAAGGCACCCTATTTTAAGCGTTTTTTGTATCATATGTATTAAGTCAGTCTCAAAGAGTTGATATTACTGGTTATTAAAATAAAAACAATACGAAACAGAAATATTGAGTGTATTAATATTATTTAAAATGAATCCATTAACGTAAGTTGTTAAATGTAGTTGTAGCAGCCCACTCTTAAAATTTTTGCTATCGGGCCTATTCTGAATAATAAACTCACTAGGAGTTTGTTCCCTCTTCTATACCTAGGTCCCGAAAAATGGAACGAACACCCGGGAAATAATTGTCCACAGTTTTTTATTTATACTTCCATCAGCTTAAAATTATTTAAAGGTTTCCGACCCTTGGTTTTTGCTAGGGACTGAGTAGGATAGTGTCTCACAAAGCATTCAATTTCCATCGTAATTAGAATTGTTTTTTGATTTCGATTTTACACCAAAAAACGATCGCGAAGAAACAGATCAAGAAAGCTAAATATATAAAATTATTTGGAATGGTCTGTAAAATGATCTACGCTGAATACATTTTATAACTGTTTTTTGTTTTAGGTAATATGTATAATAATATGGTTTTAACTTAAAAAGAAAACTCATGTTTTGATGAAAAAAAATTAAATTTAGGTGAGATACATATCCTCACCTGAAGTGCAAAAAGGCGTAACCAAAGTATAACTAAAAATTTAAAATCGACTTTTGGATTGAAAATGGTCAACTGCATCAACATACATGTTGTCGAATTGGGCATGGATAATAAGACACTCTTTCCTCAGTGATACCCAATGGCGAAGTTTACAAACGACTCAGAATAATGCACTTCGAATCGCTACCAGATGCGTCAAGATGACGAATGTGGATCATTTGCATGACCAGGTTACTGTCAGTCAGACAACATAATGTGTTGTTGACTAGACAGTTCTTGTTGGCATGCCATCTGCCTAGTCACCCCAACCATCAGATTCTGATGGAGGATACCCCTCCTAGGCACATCCGGATGGTCTTCCGACGCTTTCGCAGCGACAAGACGTCATACCATCGGTTTTCGGCAGACTGTCAATTGCAAGCGTCCGAGAAATGTTGCATCAAATGGCGGTCACCGAAACCATTGATGGCTGCAGATGCAACAGAGTCAGCTCCCTGAGATATCGGATTGTGAGAGCAACTGCTACCGTGAACGAATCGTTCCATTCACTTTAAATCTTTACCCTGCATGTCATAAAAGTCCTCATGACACGGTACATTTATTTAATTGTCCCGCTAGGTCTACAAATATGCGCCCCATACCTACGGTTAAGACCGAATGAGGTGGCGCCGTTTCTCCAGTTCCCCCTTCGATTTTATTGACATGAAATTCAAAAGGGTGTACGAAGAAATTAGTCATTTTCACAAGTTAGGAAGTATTAAAAAGCAACATAATAGACCATATCAGGCGGTACGTTCATATTCAAACATGTTTATTAATGTAAAGATATAAATCTTGTAAGAAAATTACGTTTTTATTGCATCAATAGTTTTCATTTCATTTTGTTTTTTGCCTCTCCTGTAAAATTTTTAAAAGTGTTGTTACGCCCCTTTGTATTTCAGTTGAAGATATTAACCTCTACTATCTGAATCTAGTTTAATTTTTCCTATCCACCTGTCACAGAATTCCATCCGATCGAAAGTGGAATTAGTGTTTTGAAGTGGAATTGAAATTTCTATGAAATAAATATTTTTTCTTAAAGATTCAATAACAAGAACTTTACGAAAGTACGATTCTGTTTTTGTTGTTAGAAAATAACGTTTTTTAGCATTAATAGTTTTCATTTTATTTAGTTTTTTTGTCTCCTGCAAAATTTTTATAAGTTTTGTTAAGCCCTTTTGCATTTCAGGTATTAACCTCTACTATCTGAATCTGGTTTAATTTTTGTTCGTTTCGTTTAAAAGTTTTTTAAAAAATAATAAAATGTGAATAAACATTCAAAGCCATCATTCTCGAAACGACTTTTTTTGGATTATGTCGGTCTTGTATTAAATCAGTGATATCCCACAAATTAACCATAGGAGATTTTTTAATACTTTTTTTTTCAAAATAATGCCCAGCTCTCGCATTATAAACTATTTTTTTATTTTCTCGTACATTGAATATGATATTTTATTTGTTACAAACATTAAAATAAAAATGTAACAGATTTTGTTTAACTTTTTTTAAAAAAGTTAGTAAATATTTTAAATTTTTTACTCATTATTGAAGTCCATTAGGTTGTAAATTGAAAACAAGAGAGAATAGAACCAACTTTTTCCTACATATTACAAAATCTTAAATTTTGTAAAAGCATATTAGTGAACTTATTCTTAGTAAAAAATTAAAAAAAAAATAATTTAAATCGCGTTTTTCTAGCAAATTATGATTTCAATGATTTATCATGATGTTCTTAATATAAATGTTGTAATTATACACTTTTTTAAATTTCTTTTTAATTAAAATTGATTTTAAACTCAAAATATTCTGAGCAGACAAAATGCTAAAAGTTCACAAAGTTCGATGAAATAAATGGAAAAAGATAGGAAATATTTTTTAAATTTTTTGCTCATTATTGAAGACCATTAGGTTGTTAATTGAAAACAAGAGAGAACAGAACCAACTTTTGCCTACATATTGCAAAATCTTAAATTTTGTAACAGCATATAAGTGAACATATTTTTAGGAAAAATTTAAAAAAATATATTTCAAATCGCGTTTTTCTAGCAAATTATTATTTCATTGATTCATCATGATGTTCTTAACATAAATGTTATAATTATATATTTTTTGTAATATCTATTTTGTTGAAATTGAATTTTATACTCGAAATATTTTCAGCAGACAAAATACTTAAAATTTACAAACTTCGATGAAATAAATTAAAAAAGTTAGATTTTTTTTCAGATTTTTATATTTTATTATAGCCTAAAGTGTATTTTATGAGTTGTAAATATTTTTTTTTTAATTTAAAGCGTTTTTTAAGACTATTAGGCTCAGTTAAATATAAATAAATATATTTTAATCCTAGAAATCATTATTTTTGTTTATTTTTGGTGTTAATTAAAATCAAAATGTAAAAATAATTTAAATACTGATCGCATGATTTCTACAACATTTTTTGCACAAATAAAATTGTTAAGAAAATAAGTTTTTGCGACTTTTTTCTTTTTTTTTTTTTGCAAAAAGGCGATTCTGACCACTTGAAAAGAAATATTTTTTCATAAAAATAGGGAATTAACACATGCAATGATAATTATTCGAATAGTTGTAGAAACAATTACATATTAGTCGTACACTATACTAGAGCAGAATTACTTACTAGTATTGAGAAAACAAATTTTGCGAAAACTTCTGTATTACTTTGTCGAATTTAATATATTTTGGTATGGATATTTGCGTATATTTCACCAATAAATAAACATTATTACACACAAAAATTTTAGGTTTTAAAGTTTTTAAGGCGTTTTTTGTAAAAAGGATATATGACAGCTATGAAAGTCCTTGCTGCAAATTATGAAAAAACTAACATGTTGAATGCTGATTACTTATATATGTATAACAAGTAGTCCGACTCTCACGTACACGAAATTACAACTCCACATTTATGGGTTCTGTGTGAATTCAACACCCTGGTGAGAAATGTTATTGTGTCAAAATACTTAAAATTTCTACTTACATTTTCGAATTAATAGCGGGTTCTACGCAAAATCTCTCCTGTCCTCAGAAAAACTAAAATTTTTTAAAATACTTTTAGCAAAATTTGCCTTTAAATTCCGTTCATTTTGAGCAAAATGAAAATTTTATTTTTTATTTATTATTGACATTTACTTTTTGTTGTGGTAGAATTTTAATTTACAAGCAGAGTTAATTTTTGTGTTTTGCAAATTCAAACAAATAAAATTGTATGAATTTTTATAAAACTCTGTATGTCTGGTGATAAATTTAAATGTTCAAATAAATTTACATTTTTGTTACTAATACAAATTTAGAGTTAGGTACTTTTTCACTAACACATGCTTAGAGTTAGGTACTGCTGTCAAAGAGTCGGACTACTTGTTATAATTTGCTCTAAAGCATTTGCTGCAAAAACTTTTTTAACGATCGACATACTTTATCAACGTACCTGTATATACTCTATGTGAAATGGTGATTTGAAGTCATTTGAAATTTTAAAAAATTGTTTAAAAGTTATAACACTAGTAAACATATTGTCACCTAAATTTAAATTTTTTTAAATTATTCAAAAGATTTATTTTTAATGGTCAAACTTTCAGTTGTTTTGAAAATACATACTAATTTTGATGTAAATCATTAAAATCGATTTTTAATTTTTTGTTAGTTAGGACCCACGGTCTGAAGAGGCTATATATAGGCTTGAAGTATTCAATTGTGTAAAATTTTCTGTGATTTTATTATAAAAAAATTATGTATTTATATATGTATTAGGCTTCACGCGATATTGTGATATCATACTTTTTTGACACGTTTTCGATCTGTAATAATATTGGCGTACTTATTTTGTTAAAATTCCAACTCCTTCATTTGCATATCTGCGGCCAAAACACTGATTTTGGGCGACATTTTTTAATTTGTACATAGAAAACTGCTGAAAATATTTCAAATCTGACTTTAGTATACAATTCTACAGGGAAATTTAAGATTTATAAACTTAGCTTTACAGAATTTGGGTGCACTATAAATGCATAAGAGCAAAAGAAAAAATGCAATTAAAAAAAAGAATAAATCTAGATTTTATCATTCGTAAATATAATATTCAATGCCCTTAAAAAATAGTGGTAAAACTTTTAATTAGTTGTAATCCGTTTAGGAGTTATGATGTTAATAATGTTAACTTTTGGATTATTGGATTTCCCATCAAACAATGATTTTTTTCATCATCACCTCCGAATTTAATAAAACTCCACCAAATGAATGCTCCATATATAATATGTATAATGAAAAATTTTGGGGTTTACGACTTTCGTGGTTTTCGTAATATAGAGTTGTAAAATTTAAAATCTGAAAATTTAAAGTATCATCACATCTAAAGGGTTAATGATATAATTTTTGTATACATTGATACTTTGATTATGCACAAAGCAAACAATTTTTTGAAAAAATGCAACTTTGGATAATACTAAATGCACTTTTGGAGCATTATAAAAGTGTGAAATTTTTTTCCCATAAAATCAATTATTAAAGCATGTTTTTCAATCAAATCTGAAGATTCAGCTCTGTAAAAAATATCCTTCAAAATCAGTGGTTTCCGCTTCAGATTCTTTACAGCATTGTGATCACTGATACAAAAACCTTCTTAAAAGTTATGTTATCACAAAAACGGGAAACATTTTGATTTTTGAAATGAAGCCTAATATGTATGTGTTAATTCATAACGAATAAAATAATTTGTTCTTTCAGAAATATGAAAAATGTATTAAAGCTCAGTGAACTTGAGTTGAAGGATACAAAAGGAAAAGGATCTTGGCATGATATGTATAAAGATTCGGCATGGATCTTTGTTGGTGGCTTTCCATATACGTTGACTGAAGGTGATATAGTTTGTGTGTTCTCTCAGTACGGAGAAATAGTAAATATAAATTTAGTACGCGATAAGGATTCTGGAAAGTCAAAAGGATTCTGTTTTATTTGTTACGAAGACCAACGTTCAACAATTTTAGCGGTGGACAATCTAAATGGTATAAAGGTAATTACTGAAGTTTTTATATCGTCACATGAAATGCAAAATAACGTATCATTACTTTTCATAGTTTTACAGAAGAAGCAAAACACGTTATAAAATGAAAATTGTTAAAGATATAAGATAAATATTTTATTTTTATGTGTATAACACGATAATATGTATTTTTCAAGGTTTGTTTGTTACGTTATTTTGCATTTATTTTTTCATCAATCAATCAAATTGTTTAGAATAAAGTGACAAAATTTCCTTACGAGAGGGGCTAGAAGTCTGACATTTTCTACAAATAACCTCTATGAATAAGGCTTGTTTGAGAATGAGCTAAAGATTGGACTTTCAGATGACAACATATTTTGTAAATAAAGTTAACTTGGCGCTTTTATAACATCTGATGACATGGTATCTCGAAAATCTTATTTGATGGATAAATTCTGAGGCAGGATTCAGCGTTTCTCAATATTTAGAAAAGTATACTTTGTTCTCTGGATAAAAAATTTGTTGGCCTGTTTTATTTACACTTTGTTCGAATTTCTTACATACATAATTGTGATGATATGTTGTTTTGCTTTATAAAAATATTATTTTTGATGATAAATTATTTAAAATTTTTGTTATAAAATAGTTAATTTTTGGATTATACATACTCATTCACTCTTTCATTCTTCATTCAACCCCCAATTACGTATTGAAACACGTGATTCAGCTGCGAATTACACAAGCTGTACGTAATTCAATTTGAATTACCTACGAATTACGAATGAATGAGTGTCCTAATTTTTATCGGGTATTTATCATAATCAGGCGTTTGTTATCATTTATTGGATACAAATAAAAATTAAAATTACAAAAAATAGAAAATATATTACTTAATTTGTTAAAATAATGTAACAAACGTATTTTTATAAACCCATATGTATTCCAAAATATATCAAAATAATGAATGAAAAAAAAAAAAAAACTACATGGCGGTGAATTGTCAAAACGAATTACGAATGTGTCGTGGAAATGGGTTAATTGGCTATTGTAATTCAGAAGCCGAATTAAGTAATTTATCTCTTCGTGTAAACTTGTATCAGACGCATAAAAATTTTTGTTTTTTTATGATACTTTGTTTTGCATTCCATATATATATACATATGCATTCGGAAGGGTCTGAAAAATTCCGTAATTTTGAGCTTATCTCGAGAAAAATTATAATAAATTTAGGTTAAAGAATTTTTGGTCCAAAAAACGACTTTTAGTTCATTAAAGGGGAATATAAACTCCAAAATAATCTAAAAAATTCTGAAATGAGTCAACCCAAACTAATTTTTAAATATTTTTCTGTATAAGCTAAAAATTTCGACAATTTTACTGAGGTCAAAATATTTTTTATTTTTCTCGTATTCAGTACATTAATACGCATCGATTGAGGGATATTCCTACATGATATTTTAAAAAAGGCTGTTCCTCGGGACAGATTGAGATTGAGGAAATACAATTATCTTAAACATTTTGTCAATTAAAGGTAGGCTCTTTGACGAAATCGCTATCTTGAGTGGCGATTCGAAGGATGTATCTTTAAATGGTGCAGATTGGATTAGTGTGTGAAAATTGTCAATTGTGGAAAGAAGAATTCCTTGGAATTCTAAATTTTTTCTAAATGTAGTTTTGTTCTTAATTTTCATACTAAAAACCTTCTTACTCTTAAAAAAATAAAGATTGTAGCTGCTCTAGTTTCCTAGATAACATAATTTTAATAATTACTTCATAGGGGAGGTGCTACGAACACAATTCCCTATATGATTACAAGGATGTCAAAAATGACCGTCCAAAATTAAAATGACTCGTACTCTAGCACTTATAGTTATAAAGAATAAAAAAAAGAATTTTAGCATTAAATTAATATGGGAGGTGCCACATCCACTATTACTAGTTCACCAATATTTTTCCAAAATGTGTATATTGATGTCAAAATAGTAGTATAGTAATAGTAATTTTTTGAATTCTAGCAGTTGAAAGATTAGAAACGAAAATAATTTTACATTTTTAATACTCTTCACCTTCGTGAGAAGCAGGGTAGGTAAAAATATCGCCAGATACCTTCGGGATCAAAATCTTCAATAATTCTGTCAGACATGCTTTCGAGAAGTTTCCTATTTAAAATCAGCAAAATCCGTCCATAAATAACGGAAATATAAGCAAAAATCCGAGACAACCTCTGAAAATTTCACCAAAAAAAGAAAATTTTTTGCATGCTTTGATAAATAAGCAACAACAACACTGCTTATTGGAAAAAAGATGTACATATGTTTGGATGTTTGTATGTTGGTTTCATTGCGTTATGTATTTTCTTTTTTTTTTTGCGTATTTTCTTTCGTATGTTGGTTTCATTGCGTTGTGTGTTTGTTTTTTCATTTATTTTGTTTCGTATGTTTGGATGTCTGTTGGTTTCATTGCGTTGTGTATTTTGCATTTTGTATGTTTTATTTCGTTTAGCGTTGTTGTTGTTCCTTTTGTTCAGCTATTGCTAAAGTAATGATATTGTCGGGAAAATGAAATAAATTGAAATTTTATAGTTATTTTTTTAAATACACTGTGCTGAAGGGTATATAAGATTGAATATTGAAATATTGAAAAAATTTTATTCTTGAGTTAAAAAATAATTTTTTTGATGGATATACCACTCGCATCCCATTATGCCATATTTCCTTTAAGGAAATTGTATAAGCTTTCTTTTAAGCAAAAAAAAAAAAAAAACAAAAAAAAACAAAAGGGCTTATTTTGAAAAAAATTAAAAAAAAAATTTAAAATTTTGGGAAGAACTTTGGACAATTTTTGCTAGGACCAATAGGTGAAAAGTTACACTCATTTGATAAAACCCTGTATGACCAAAATGTCCAACTTTGACCCCCTCTAAGTCCCGCAGTTCTTGACCGATAGAAAATTTGTGTCTGACCTACTATCCAATAATACTAACTTTAGTGCAAATTTCGTGGAAATCGATTTTTTGAGTTGGGTCACTTGACATGAAATTCCCCATATGAATAATTACGGTGACCATATTTTTTCAGCAAAATACAGAACAGGAGAAAATAAAATACATTAACTACCATTTTCCAAATCAGGTTATTTTTAACCGTCAAAATTTCAATTGTCAATACTGTTTTAAACATTATTATATTGATTGTTCACAGAAAAAAGTTTCAGCATAAATATTATAACTGGTTTCATTGACAAAAGTTAATAATATTTAAGAATAAGTTAATAAATGGTACGAATTTTTTAGTTTTTATTTTTTTAAACAATTTTTTAATTTTTATTTTTTTAAACATAATCTAGAAGCCTTGACATAAAATATTTCAAATTTATTTTAATTTTTCTATTTGTTAAAAAATGTTTTAATTTTTTTTTTTAATTTGTTATTTCTTTGTGATTTTTAGATTAAAATTGATGAAATTTGAATGGATGTTTTGTTTTTCAACATTTAAATTTATATTTTATATTATACAAAATTCACTAATATAGGATTACTATTCTGTTACTATGTAAACAGAATAGTAAATAATGGACTTTTATGCAATTATTTCATGAATATCGTTGAAAAAAAGTAAAAATTAAAAAAATTACCGTCATGTACAAGTTCATACATGTTATGAACTTTGAATATTTTGAATGAAAATCGATTGGGGAAAAAAGTCATGTTCGATCCATACAATTTATGTAATAAGTTTTTCGGTATTAGAAACATAAAAATTTATTACTTGATAAAGTACAAAAAAAAAAGCAAATACTAATGGAAATTTAGTTTTATAAACAAACCTTTTATAAAATAAAAATGTTGTTTGTGAATAAGGGGGTGAATGTTTATAGTTTAAAGAACTGTATTACCTACATTTGTGTCAGAATTTTTTAATATTTTTGTATTTCTTATTCAGTTTTTTCCTACCGAGCGCGTCCCCGGGTGGCGGATAGGGTGTGGTGATGGACCATCTGTCCTCTCCCAGCTTTAATTTCACTTAAGCTGAGGGAGGGCAGATTGTCCACCACCTGGGAATATTATATTCCCCGCGGACCAAAAAACTGGAAAAAAAAAAACAAATATGGAAAATAAAAATAAAAAGATAAAAGTTACGGTGCAGGGCCTAAATAACCCAGTACCGGCGGCAAGTGTTGATCTACTCGCGAGTCACGTGTCGTCGTCATCCTGCAATCGTGAGCAGAATACTACTACGGAGGTGGGTACCTTGGCCTCCGTGGCGGACAATGCGTCAAGTGTACAGCATGCCGCTGGCAAAAATATAGGGGTGAAAGAGAAGGATGTACTCGGAGAGAGCTCTAAGCTACCTCAGCATTTAAATATAGGTGAGGGTTCCGACTCTGAATCCTCAGATGATAATAATAATAATACCATTATAGCAAATCCCAAAAAGGATGAAGTAGAGCAAATGGTGAAAGAGGTGAGTGATAGCATAGCTAAACTACCTATTACTAAGAAAAGACTTTCTGGAGCACAGAGGAGGAAGTTGAAAAAGATGCTTCAGGAAATCATAGTTAGTCAATCCCACGACACTCCAAAGGAAAAATCGGACTCTCTCACAAGATCTGAGGCAAAAAGGATCAGGTCTCCCGAGGAGTTGACAACTGAGAATAAACCTAAGAAGAAAAAGAGCTCCCCGTCTTCTAATACACAGTCGAAGCCAAGCCATACTTCACTCAAAGGAATCTCAAGTGAGAATCCTGCGAGTAAGGGTGACAACGCCAAGCCAGATATTCCGAAGACGAACACGTCGGCGAAATCAACCTCGAAGGTAAGGGAATCTCAAAAGAAGCCCCGAAAAACGAGGAAGGAGAAGCTAGACGGAGGAAAAGGAAAAGAGCCGCCATCTTACGACAAAGTTGCCAGAAGTAGGCACCGGGACGATCTCTGCTATGCAGTTTACGATGCCGGTAATCCTACAGGCAAAATTCCAATAGACCAACAGAGTAAAATAGAAGACCTGGTCAACAATAAGATAGTGGACCAT